CTGGCGTAGTTTGGATTGTGTTTCAGTGGGGGGTTTTGTATGGGTGTGTTTTTAGAACAGGCCTATTATTCAATTCGATTTTAAAACAGAAACTATTTATTTATTCGTGGTTTTTAGTATCGCCTGTTCACCGCCCTGAGTCCCGCAAGGGAGATAGGGCGGTATATAAATTTAATAAATAAATAAATAAATAAATAAACACTGGAAGTTTTTAAGAAGAGACTGGACAGCCATCTGTCCGAAATGGTGTAGGGTTTCCTGCCTGAGCAGGGGGTTGGACTAGATGACCTCCAAGGTCCCTTCCAACTTTATTATTATTATTATTATTATTATTATTATTATTATTATTATTATTATTATTATTATTATTATTATTATTACAGGGAAAGAAGGTAACAGTACTGCTATATAGAAAGTGTGTGTGCAATGTTCGTAATTCCAACTAAAGAGGACTCAAATTATATGTGGTTGGATTACTGGTGGGATTACTTCAGGAAAAAATGAAGACCCTGCAGGCAAACCAAGCCACTCAAACTCCAGACACTCCCACACAAGATAAAATGCGAGTTCCAATGGTGAACAGGAAAACTCCCATTAAATTCTCTATTCAAACTGAACATACCAAGAAAAATGAATTGGAAGTCTCTATTCAAACAGAACGCATAAAAAAATTAAAAAGGAAGGACAAGAGTGATGGCAGCATGTCATGCTAAGAACAAAAAATACCCCAAGAAGGCAGCTTGCCACTGAGTACAGATAGTCCTCGACTTACGACTGTAATTGAGCCCAAAATTTCTGTTGTTAAATGAGACACTTGTTAAGTGAGTTTTGCCCCATTTTACGACATTTCTTGCCACAATTGTTAAGCGAATCACTGCAGTTGTTAAGTTAGTAACCCGGTTGTTAAGCTAGAACTAAGGAGAAATTTCCTAACAGAACAATTACTCAGTGGAATGACTTGCCTCCAGAAGTTGTTGATAGTCCAACACTGGAGATTTTTAAGAAGAGATTGGACAATCATTGGTCTGAAATGGTACAGAGTTTCCTGTTTGAGTGGGGGATTGGACTAGAAGACCTCCAAGGTCCCTTCCAACTCTGTTATTTTGTTATCTTCTGGAGTTTTCCTTATAATTCCAAAGACTACTATAGATGAAATTATGGCTTTCATTTAAAGAATTTATACAGCCGTCCACTCTAGGCACAGAAAAGTTTTGAAGTTCATCACATCTGGTGATGATTAGGTTGGGGAAGTATACATTGCAGTATGATGCAAGAAGATCTGAAGATAGTGTACTATCTATTGATAGTAGAGAACTTTCTCTTTCTTGGAAAGCTGTATTTTGTCTTATTATTTTTCTCAATAATTTGCAGGCACAAGTTTATTGCAGGAAGTGGTGTATCTTGTGAGCCAAGGAGCAGATCCTGATGAAATTGGATTAATGAACATAGATGAGCAGCTTCCAGTCTTAGAATATCCTCAACCTGGTCTGGACATTATCAAGGTACAGATGAATTCTCAGATCTGTGTTAAGCTTTTGAAATTATGCTGTTGATGCTTGGCTGAGCTTTTGTTTTCAAGCCCTGTTTGATTCCTTGATGTATTGGAATAATTCATCATTATGAATGTTTTAATGGTTTTAATACTTTCAGATGGTACATAACTTCACATATATTTTATTAAATGCAAGAGACTCTGACTAAAGATTCTATTCTAAAGATAATTTTACCTGTTGCAGAGAGAATCAGAACACTGAGTGATTAAAAAATCTGAGTGATTAAAAAAACAACAGATTTTGCAAATATGTAATGTATAAAAAGAAAGCGTCTATGCCTCAAAAATTTAAAATTTGACAGGCCATCTTTTCCTATTCCTATAAAATAATTTCCCACTGCAGGACTACCGCTGACCTGCATTCCTATTTGATTGCAATTTAGGCCTCTAAAATAATTTCTTATTATTTTATGGACCTAAGTTGCAATCAAATAGGAATGCAGGTCAGTAGTAGCCCTTTCATTGTCTTTCATGCTTTGTGAAACTGTAAAACTTGTGACCAGTGACTTTTTCATTTCAATTGCTGTGCTTCAGATCAATGGGACATAAACTCAAAATTCTGGAGGTGTGAAAGTGTGATGGACTTACCTGTTAAACAATAACTTCTTCCCCTGGAGATCCATGGATTTTCCAGCCTATTGTGACGATAGAGTTGCTTTTTAAAGAGAAAAGTTTCTTTGAAATTATCTCAATGATGACCTCATGACCTCTATGATCTTCTTGACAGCAATATGGAAGCAATTTGACATTGTCTCTTCCCAAAGTGTTTTTCAACTTCTCTTTTTAGTCTATAACTCTGGGATTTCCTGGTTGGTCTCCCTTCCAAGGATTAACCAAATGTGATCCAGATCTGCCACTGATTTAGCCCAGATCTGCCACTGATTTAGCAAAAGGAAAGGTTGTCTTAGGCTGGGCTCAGTTGCCAATGATTATGTTCAAAGTGGGCAAAGCTTAAGGACATGTGTGGCACTGAGATTTTTCAACTTCATGGACCAAAATTTAATAAATAGATTGGATAAATGTCTTCTAATGTTTCAGTTTGGCATTGATGTTAGGTCTGGAAACTCTAAATGTAAACTCTTTCTAACTAAGATAAGGAGACTCACTTTTTCAGAGAACAAGATTGCAAAAATTAATGAAACCAGATTATTCCCATAAAAGACAAAACCTTTTCTTATGAAAATGGAGGGGTTATTTTTCTTTGAAACCTTTGACCTTTCACTTTACTAGAAAATGAATAAAAAGGCTTGCAGTGAGTCATATTTTCCTACAAATGAATCCAGTCCTGTCTTTTGGGTGAATACAATTCAGCATTGTCAGCCTAAATCAGAAAGGGAGATTAACATCTCTCCAGAGGATTAATTCTTGCCATTTAAGCCATAAATATGTAAGTGATCTATGTGGTCACACAGATCACACAGCAGCAACTTCTGCTACCTGATAGTTGTACAGTCAGGAAGATCAAACCTGAACCTCCTTCCAAGTGATTCTTGGACCCACTGATTATGTACTGATCCTTTGCATCTTTTTCTCTACAAAACCCTTCAAGTCCTTGAAGAGTGCTTCCATATCTCTCCTCAATTGTCTATTTTGAAAGCAAAATATACCAAGATCCTTCAACCTTTCCTCCGACGGCTTGATTTCCAGATCTTCCACCATCTTTGTAACCCTCCTCTAAATTCCAATTTCTCGATTACATTATTGGACTTTAAACCTTGAATTCCAAGTGGGAAACTGACCGGGATAGAGTTGAGAGGAACAATTACTTCCAGGACTCTGCTGCAATTAACGCACCCCATAATAGCCCTTGCTTTTTTAATGAATGCATCACACTGCTGGCTCATGCTTAACTTGTGGTTGAGAAGGATATCCAGATCCCTTTCAAATATATTGCTGTTTTACTCTTTTCCTGCCCAGTTTCAAACTTTCCACTTGGTGTCATATGCAGATTTAATAAATGTCCCCCAGCACCCTCATCCAAAACACTTGTACAAATGTATTCCTGCTAAGTGAACTGAGACAGTCCCACTTGTTTTGGTATGCAGCTCTTTTACGTGGGTTGATACTCAGTCCTGGCTCCAAGCTGTTCTGCAAGATCAGAAGGAGGAAAATGAGATATGTCTGGGTGGCAAATAGACAGAAATCCAACAAGGTGCTGATGCCATGGTTGCCCTGAAACTTGACACTTTAGACCAGTGTTTTCCATCCTTCACAACTTTATGAGTTGTGGACTTCAACCTCCGCTGGCTGAGGAATTCTGGGAGTTGAAGTCCACACCTCTTAAGCTGCCAAGGTTGAGAAACACTGGCTTATTAGACCTTTCAGCTCCCCAGATACACACAGAAAAAGCATAATCTATTGGCTTTTTGTTAATTCCTTTTCACCTCTTTTTTATGTTTTGGGGAGGGGGACAGTGGTGGGATTCAGCCAGTGCGCACCAGTTCGGAAGAACTGGTTGTTAATTTTTTGTTGCCCAGGCCCATAATGGACTTCCGGAAGCGGCATCCACACAGAGAACCGGTTGTTCACATATTTGAATCCCACCATTGGGGGGGAGGGAATACATTTGAGCATTTATTAGGCTGGCCTTTGTCAGCCCTGAGCCTTAATGTTCTTCCCTGCACATTACAGGAACTGACATCTCCACGTCTGATCAAAAGCCACCTGCCATACCGCTTCTTGCCTTCTGACCTGCATAGCGGCGAATCCAAGGTAGACTTCACTGGTCCTCTGTGTTACCTGTCCTCTGCAGGTCTTCTGACCTAGGGAGATGGGACGGAGGGAGCATTCTGCCCAATGAATTGCTTTTCATCTCCCTAGATCATATACATGGCTCGTAACCCCAAAGACCTGGTCGTATCTTATTATCAGTTTCATCGCTCCCTGCGAACTATGAGCTACAGAGGAACGTTTCAGGAGTTCTGTCGGCGGTTTATGAACGATAAGTGTAAGAATTTCCCATCTGTTTTGTAAGGCGGTATCCTTCTCTCTGTTTTACATCATGCAGGAACCATAGGACATGTGGCTTGTGGCATTAACTTGCCACTTAAAGCAGTCTCTCTCAACCCCAGCAACTTTTAAGATATGTGTACTTCAACTCCTAGAATTCCCCAGTCAGCCTTGATCTAAGGCAGGGGTAGGCAACCTCGGCTCTTTTATGACTCGTGGACTTCAACTCCCAGAATTCCTGAGCCAGCATGGCTCAGCATGGAAACCTCTCCCTTTCCCCTCAGCATGGCTGGCTCAGGAATTCTGGGAGTTGAAGTCCACGAGTC